AGGGTAAGGTTGCCGCGCCCGCCCCTGCCTCCCCCAAGCATTTTTTACTAACCTGCTTTTCAGCTGCATTCCGTTTCTCCATTCACTTCTCAGCCTTTTTTTATATATACCGATAGTCCCACAAACATGTGAAGGCTGAAAAGCGAATGGAGAAACAGAATGCAGCTGAAAGGCAGGTTAGTAAAAAAAAATGCTTGGGGGAGGTGAGGGCATCTGGGCAGGGGCAGGAGTGGCAACCTTATCCTGCATGGTGGCGGGAAGGTGGGGCGCGTGTTTTTCCCATGCCAGGGCCAGCCCCTGCAGCCCCGGGCGGCCGTGCTGGGTGGCGGTGGGCAGGGCGTTGAGGTTGGGGTTGGCAGGCTGACCAAAGCAGCAGGTGGAGCATGGAGGCTTGGGGAGGGAGAGAGCGGAAGTGGGCGGTTGGGTCATTGGCAAGAGCAACGCGTCTGAGTGAAAAGCAGCCTCAGAACAAGCAGGTAAGGAAAGAAATCCTCGTTCCCCCTAGAAATTGCCTTTCTTTTCTTACCTGACTCCCAGCCCTGTGCCATTTCTCCTTCATGATCCGCTGCCATGTGCAAGGAAACAAAGAAAGATTTTTTTGGGGGGGAAAAGGTCAATCAATCAATTCCAACTTTTTGTGAAAGATCACAAAGTTGGAATTGATTGACTGACCTAGACTGACACCCTAGATCAGAGTTCCCCAACCTTTTGGGTACCAGGGACCGGTTCCATGGAAAAAGGTTTTTCTGCAGATTGGAGTGTGTGTGGCTTTGTGTGCTGCCTGCATCTCATGGATGGGGCTTTGCTTGTTTGCACGGCCCGGTTGCTGGCATGCTGTGGCCCGGTACCAGTCCACAGACCAGGGGTTGGGGATCCCTACCCTAGATGATAGGCTCAAGATCCCTCTGGATCTTGACAGACTTGAACACTGGGCCCTATGTAACAAAATGCAACTCAACGTAGAGAAAATAAAGTCTTACCCTTAGGCAACAAAAACCAAAAGTACACATACAGATTAGGTGAAACATGGCTTAATAGCAGTAACTGTGAGAGGGATTTTGGAGTCCTAGTAGATAAAATCAATTAAATATGAGCCAGCAGTGTGAGCAGCAGCCAAACATGACAATGCAATCAAGATCACATGACGTAGTAATAGCACTCTATAAGCCTTAGTAAGACCACATCTAGAATACTGCATCCAGTTTTGGTCACACCACTATAACAAAGATGTTGAGACTTTAGAAAGAGTGCAGAGAAGAGCAACAAATATGATTAGGGACCCGGCGCCTAAAACATATGAGGAACGGTTGCAAGAAGTGGGCATGGCTAGTGTAGTGAAGAGAAGGAACAGGGATGAGATGACATGATAGCAGTGTTCCAATATTTGAGGGACTGTCACAGAGAGGAGGGGGACAATCTATTTTTCCAAAGCAGCCAAAGGCCAGACAAGAAAAAAGGAATGGAAACTGATCAAGGAGAGATTCAACCTAGAAATAAGGAGAAATTTTCTGACAGTGAGAACAATCAATCAATGGAACAGCTTGTCTTCAGAAGTTGTGGATGCTTCATCATTGAAGGCTTTCAAGAAGAGACTGGACTTCAAGAGACTTGTCAGAAATGGTAAAGTATCTCCTGCTTGAGCAGGGGGTTGGACTAGATGACCTACAAGGTCCCTTCCAATTCTGTTATTCTGTATAAACAATAGGCAACTTGGTTAAAAATGTCATTATGGTATATATTCCCAGTTTAATATATTGAAAGGTTTGGGGCATCCATGACCAATAAATCTTACTAGCACCAATCCACATGGGCAGAAAGTACAAGAAAAGGCTGGGTGCAGAGATGTTGACTCATTACATCATTCCTTCATTTATTGTTCTATAAAATAAATTCCAGGAAGCTTAAAATCAGCCATTAGATTTCTTCAACTGGCTGAGAACAGAAGGTTCTGCCTGTTAAAGAAACCAGCAGGTCAGTTCCGGTCAATAGATGCATGAGAACCCAGATGGCCAGCACTGATGAAATGAAGTTCTCTCTAATTTAGGAGGCAAGTCATTAATAAGTTAATCACATAGCTTAATGAAGTAATGACTCTAGCCCTGGTTCTCATGAGGCAGTTATTCCACATGGACAAATGGTATTTAATATGCAAAGAATCCTTCCTGTGTTTTATATACTGAAATGTAATCATGTACATAATGTATATTATTATCAGTGTGTCAATAGAAAGGGGTATTTACTAAATTAATAAAGGTGTTATCAGATTAAATCACATCCCAAATATTCAAAGAAAATAGGTAGATAAACAAGAAGAATATGCTTATTTTATATGCTTGTGTATAATATTTGTAGAATAATATTATTTCTGTTCTATTGTAATTAGGAGACAGAGTTCAGCAGTATTTTTATATATATTATGCTGAATAAAAGAATTTTGCTGTAACTCCTATTTTTGTATCCTAGAAATTCTAGCATCATGCATAGAAGTATCATAAAGAATATCAGCTGCTGCCATGTACTAAATTGTCATTTATTGCTGTCACAGCTGCTTCCTGTCATTATTGAACAAACTGGCACAATTCCAAAGATCAGCTCATTTTTTTTATTTTTCAGGTCAATGGATCTCAAAAATTTCACCAGAGACAGCACTTTGTTTCAAAGAAACAGAATATGGGAGTGCAGATGTATCCCTCTCCATCACTACTTTTCATTCTGCAAATCTTCCTCTTCCAGTGCTGATCCAGGAAAATGTTATACAGTGGACCTGGAACAGGATCACTAAAGATTCTTCCTTGGGAGAAAGTTTTCCCCAGCAGAGAAAAAAAATCAGATTCAGATGGAGAACTGAAAAATGAGGAAATATCACATGCATAAAAAAGTACATTCTTGCTCTTTTAACTCTGTGTTACTTTTAAAGAAAACTTAAATAAATAAATTTAATTTTTTTTAATAAAACGTGTTAGTTAGAAAAACTGCTATCGGACTCCTCCTAACTTGCCAGCAAAAACTAACATGACATTCCTCCTATTATATCTTCAATGTACATGAATCTTTTGTGACTTCTTTAAAAGGTTACTTTGCCTAAACTGGAAGGATTTTACAAACACAAGATATTTGCCTCTCTAGGAACCATCAAATGGCAAATCTATCAGTGGAATAGTTCTGTAATGGTAGGAAAAATATAGATATAGCTAATATATCTCCACCATCAAAATCTGTTTTAGTAATATTTTAGCCATAGTGGAATATTAGAACTAGTTTCTTATGCTGAATTTCAGCATTCCTTTAGAGAATAATTTCAAAATTAGAAGAAATTTGCTGAAAAGGCGATGCCTTTTAACTGAGAGTCAAGACCCAAAAGGAACCTAAGTTGATAGCAGAGAGCACCAAGCCCATAATAGAAAGCCCTTGACATATACAAGCAGATAAATCCCACTGAAGCAGCAGACGTTCTTGAGAATCCAGTCACAATTCTGGAGGAATAAATCACTGCTTTTGGCAAACTGGTACTGTGAATTTCAATTACATACCTCAGTGCTTAAGATGGGTTTGACAATTAGTTACAATGGCTTGTCAGCTCCTGCTAAGACACAAGCAACAGAGCCTTTTTCGCAGACTACTTTCACAAGTAACATTTGCCTAGGGTAATGAGGCAGGAGTAAAAGAGAGAAAGAAGGGCAGGAGATCTGGCAGGACATTTTTAAACTTAGTCTTAACATTGCTCACCAACTTCTAATTTTACTTTGGAGAATGGGGTGGTTACTACCAGTGACAAGCCTTCAGGCATGCCACGCTATATCTGCTCCCAGGTGAAGTATCTAACCCACATTTTCCGGCATAATAAAATCATAGAAGCATAAAGTTGGAAGGCGCCATTTAGATTCCAGAGCCTAACACCAGCTGAATAATGGATCACTTTTCCATTGTTAATCAAAATTCAGCACTTGCCTTTAGGATGAAAGCCTTCATTTCGTAAAAATGATTTGTCGGTATTCAAGGCTATTGTACTTATCACTTTTCCATTTAGCAGCCTTTGATGTGTTAGTCCTTGTAGAAGGAAACCCACTCTTGGATGAATGGCTATTCCTTCTAGGCCTGCTTTCTATGATATAGGATGTCAAGCCCTGTGGGGAACTAATAGGCTGTCTGGTATTCTTGAAGAAAGAATGGGAAATAACTTCCATTCTTGGAGGTGCTACTGGCCCCATATTATCCTCTCATTTGGAACTCTTTTGTTTATTGTAGTAATGTGACTAAGTGCAATATTGGAAGAATATGAATAGGCAGTATAATGTTTTGAAAGTCATCTGAAGTTTGCTTTTATTGCAGCCAATAGTCACTCCTATGTGACAATAATACATGAAACAACATAAAAAGCACAATCCCTTTCTGCGGTCATAAAACCCTAAAATTAAGGCAATATTTTTCTGCATTAAGCAATGACAGCTCTAAAGAGGAGAGCTACAGCTCATGAAAGTTTATGTCTTAAATAACATTTGTAGGTTGGAAAAGGTGCTACCTGCCAGGGGCCATTAAGAGCAAAGCTAGTACCTTGTGATATTACAAGATACTAGCTTGTGATGTTACTTGTAATAAACGAGAGCAAACATTTTGGCCTTTTTTATATTTTGGACATCGGGAGGTTTTAAGACATAAAACCCAACTATAATAAGCACGAAGATTTTGGAGGGTTGGGGATTTTAAAGGTATGCCAGGTATTTTGAGCTTCTGTAATGATTAATACTCTCAAATTTTCCCTAAAATTAAAAAAAGAAAACAAAATTCCCCCTAGCCAATTGTTGGGTATCCAGCTTATATATTTCACTCCTTATGCAGAATTAACACCTACTGATGAAGACAGGCAGAGCTGATTTTTAGTATAGAGTAAGCATTGCATCTAGAACAGTTCTCTATGGCCTTCTTTTAAATTTGCATTTCGCTGAAAAGTATGGATTGTACGAAACAAGCGCAAAATAAAATACACATTTCTTTGCTCCTACCTGTCTAATGAGATACAGCATAGATGAAGAATTGATGCAGTAGTGAGGAGGACATCAAGAGAAGTGCGAACCAAACAGAACATCCTTCCATAAATCCAGTTATCCTGAACCAGCTCAATCGCTCCAAATGGCATCACCAAAACAGATACTAGCAAGTCAGCAAAGGCGAGAGAGACTATGAAATAATTGGTCTTGATTCTCCTGTAAAATGAAATATACAAGCATTGATCCTCAAGTATTAGGCAATAGTTAGTTCTGAATTTAAAAATGTTTAATCATCTACTGTATTATTTCTGTATTAATGCATGTTTTGTTTAATATTTGTTCATAATAGTTGCTCCAAAAAGAATTCATTCTCCTGAATGTGAAAATGATCTAATTTGTTGATATAAAGATTACCCTAATCATCCATACAGAACAGATTTATATTTTAATACTTTTTCAATTTTAACAAGCTCATCTCAAATCCTTTTTCCATTTTTAAAATAATTTTCATTAGCAAGCATGGTCAGAAAACATATTATGTAAAACTATAATTTATTCATCAAAATGATGCATTTTAATTAACAACATTCTGACAGTAACTTGATTTCATACATTCTGAAGCATCTTATTGTATTGTTTAAAAGCATTTGTGAATATGGCATTTTCTAAAAAGGTGGTATAAAATTGTTTTCTGGTCCTGAATGTGATCATTACTTATGCATGTGAAAAATTTTATTTTAGTATTTGCCAAGCATTATAGACAATATAGAGTTTGGTATAGTGGTTAAGGCACCAAGTTAGAGACCAGGAGACTGTGAGTTCTAGTTCCCCCCTGGGCACAAAGCTAGCAGGATGATCTTAGGTCGGCCACTGCCTCTCAGCCATAGGAAGAAGGCAATAGCAAAACACTTCTAAGAAGCCTTGCCAAGAAAATTGCAGGGACTTGTTCAGCCAGTCTCCAAGAATTGGACATGATTGAACAGAAGAAATAAAAACAATCAATATATTACAGATTCATTAGAATTTAGAATTAGTATTTAAATTGCAGTAACTATTTCAATATAAAGTTTGCAGACTCGGAAGCTTTAGTTAGAATCAAAAGATATGTAGATTGATGCCAGGAAGAGATGTCTCAACAAAGTATCTTGTTTGTAGTTTTCTCTGCAACTGTCACAACTATGAATTGAGAACCTTGCCACTCAAGTATTTCCACTTTTGAAATATGTAATAAAGCTTTCCTTCTATATCAGTACACAATGGACTACTCATCTCCTTACTATAATATTAACTGCTACCTTGAAGGCTTGGAGCATTAGACTATACTGCACACACAAAAAAGAAAAGAAAATCTAGCACATTTTTGTTCCTCCACAGCAGCTATGTTCTTCTGTTCTTGAAGCACTATAATATTTGTTTTGAATGTAACTGTCCTAGAATAAAAAAAATTATTAAATTGGCAATCTAATTAAATAAAAATACTTGACATAAATAAACATACCTGTTTGGAGTTAATTTGCCTGTGTCTCTCTATGTGTACGTCACAGTACATCGTACTGTATGTACATCATACAAAAGGCCGGGTTGGATGAATCACAAGCCAGAATTAAGATTGCTGGGAGAATCTCAACAACCTCAGATATGCAGACAATACCACTTTAGTAGCAGAAAGTGAAGAGGAACTGATGAGGGTGAAAGAGAAGAATGCAAATGTTGGCTTGAAACTCAACATTAAAAAACCTAAGATCATGGCATCTGGTCCCATCACTTCCTGGGAAATAGAAGGGGAAGAAATGGAAGCAGTGACAAATTTTATTTTTTTGGGCTCCAAGATTAACTGCAGATGGTGACTGCAGCCATGAAATTAAAAGATGCTTGCTCCTTGTGAGAAAAGCTATGGCAAACCTAGACAACATATTAAAAAGCAGAGACATCACCTTGCTGACAAAGGTCCATATAGTTAAAGCTATGGTTTTCCCAGTAGTAATGTATAACTGAGAAAGTTGGACCATAAGAAACTGAAGAATTGATGCTTTCAAACTGTGGTGCTGGAGAAGATTCTTAAGAGTCCCTTGGACTGCAAGGAGATCAAATCAGTCAATCCTAAAGGAAATCAATCCTGACTGTTCTTTGGAAGGACAGATACTGAAGCTGAAGCTCAAATACTTTGGCCACCAAATTAGAAGAGAGGACTCACTATAAAAGACCCAAGATGTTGGGAAAGATTGAAAGAAAAAGGAGAAGGGGACGGCAGAGGATGAGATGGTTAGGTAGTGTCATCAACACAATGAACATGATTTGGGCAAATTCCAGGAGACAGTGTAGGACAGAGAGACCTGGTGTGCTATAGTCCATGGGGCCATGAAGTCAGACAAGACTTAGGGAAAGAACAAAAACTGTGTGTGTAAAGAATAAAAAGAGATATCCTATTTTAATCCTTACTTGAAGGATTACTTACTTATTTACTATTCCTTACTATATTTGAAGAAATATAATCATTTCACATATTTTCTCTATTGCTGATTGATATTTATTTTCTTTCATATTTTAAAATGTTTTACACACTGGTTATATATTAAATAGCTTTAATAAAACAACAATGTTCTTCAAATAGTTGTGATCAAAAACAGCAAGCAAAGCATATATTATTTATTCAAGTGAAACAAGACTTTTTTTGTTATGAAGATTTGTGTGGCGGAACAGAAGCAAAATAAAAATAAAAACTGAACATATATTAGTGATAAGTAATGGTATAATTATCTATTATAATGCTTTAATTAACCAAGCTTGAAAACAAGATTTGTTAAAAATGAAAATCTAATGCTTCAAAAAAACAATAGTTGGATTTCAGGTTTTTGTTCTTTCCTTTAAATTAAGAAATCTTTCTAACAGGTTAATAAATGTTAATTAAATCTGAAAGATATATATTACCGGGAAGGCATCTATAGGACACTAGTTTCTCTCTAAATTATTTTTAATAAAAATCTCTAAAACATAATCAAATTAAAAGGGGTATGGCACCTAATGGTTACCAAGGCAATTGTGGCTCAGAACAGTGATTTCAAAGACTCAGGAATTAAATTTTTCCAGTTGTTTTATTTTTCTTGTTTTTAAATGCCTAATTGTATTTAGTACATCAAACTTTTCTTTGAATAATGTATCCACATCTTTAAAACCTTCATTGTTCTCTCTTAAGTCTGAGTAGTCTGGAAAAAAATTTATGTAGACAGCAGAGGTCAAAGTGAAAACTCTAATCCAGTGGTTCTCAACCTTTTCACCACCACCACCCATTTTAAATACCTTTTGTGGCCAAAGACCATGGCCATGGACCCCCACCCCCCAGATTTAAGATTTAAACCATAACATTTCTTCAAACCTTCACAGACCTCCTGTGGACCACAGGTTGAGAACCACTGCTCTAACCCTAATAAGATCATGGAATCTTTACTAAAAGATTTCACTTAAGAACATCATACAGCACATTCAATCAAATCAATCAATTCTTTGAAAGGAGCTCAGCATATAACTTCAGTTATTAATTTTTTTTGGCTAAGATCCAAGTCCAGCTACTTTTTGGAGTCAGTTGGGCCCCTACAGATCATTCCTTCTTTTGGAAAGAATTCAATTTAAATTTTTGAGACTGATTTCTTCAATCACCTTGTTGCATTTCAAACTTCCCCATGAAACTGGGCTGCTTCTGCCTGGATTTTCATCTTCTATTGGCTTAAGCTCTTTTTTCCCCAGCTGACTTGGCCCCTTTAATTATGATTGACAGTTTCCTGGTGCCAAACTACAACTCTATGGCTTTTCATGGCCTGTTTTCACTTTGACCGGCTATGAATGCACAGAATGCACAGAAGCTGGTCTCAAGCAGCAGACCATAGATTAATAACTTCAATTAAACTTTCCACTTCTACCAAAAAAGACCTTCTTGAGCCACTCTGCACATCTTCTCCAACCAGCTAACAGCCCACATAATGATCCAAAATTCAGAAGTTCTTTATCCTTCCAACAGCCATTACTGAAGGAAGATACCAAAAGAACCCCTTTGAACAGAGACTGTGCCTTGCTCCACAATGACAAAAAGCTTAACAAAAAATGATCCTGAGAAAGTTTAAAATGGCTTAACAGTCTAGTTAACTTTGAAATAACAATATTTTTACTAAAGTGTTTTTAAAATAATTACATAAATAGAGTAATAACTTCATGAGAATTGTTTAGACTTCTAATAGAAGGATAATCAGTGGACTTTGCAAAATAAAAAGATAAAAGGAATCTGAGACAAACCATGTAACCATAGAATTACAGAACATCAGAAGGGATTGAAGATTTAAGGGCTAGAGAAAGCTAAAAAGGAAGGAGGAGGAGGAGGAGGAGGAGGAGGAGAAGGAGGAGGGGAGAGGGGGACAAAAAGGGATCAAAGATATGGATGGAGAATATCCATATTGAAGAACAATATTTCAATATCAAATTAAGAGTTAACAATGTCAGAATACTATGTAAGAGCAAAGAATATAAAATTGACTTGTTTGATGAAGGATGAAGGTAATAAGTATTTTTATAAAATATTGCAAACCCTTTATGAGTTTTTTGCTGACGCTTTTACTTGACACTAACATATGCAAGGACTCACCTCAGTTGCCTATCCCTGCATACAGCAACCATCACCAGCAGATTCCCCAGGATAGCCATAAGAATAACTGCTGAAATAAAAGTGAGCAGTGTAATCTTCTCTGCCACGCCAAATCCTTCAGTTGAGCTGTAAAAAAAAAGATACAGATGTAAACCCTCAAGAATATAAATAGGCAGTGCCATATTGGTTTGGTTATTCAGTGTCTCTGTACATAATTGAGCTTCTTCATCTGCAAAAACTACACTAACTTCCAACAACTAATGGTTGTAAATAAACATAATTTACAGGGAAACTGGTCTACTTACAGGGTTACAAGTAACAAAAACAAACACTCCATGTAAAGTGACCAATCCCCAACACCACACCTATTCTATAGTTCAAAACTTCAGGACCAATTTTTAAGTCATTTTTTGTAATTAATTTTTCAACCTATATTAAAAAAATGGTATTCAATTAATTAATTATTAATTAATTAAATTTATATACCTTGGTTTTTTTTAAAACAAGTTGTTCAGATATATACTTCTCTGACCAAAAATATATAACTGTCAATACCTATCTGATGATGTTATCCGGGCTGGAAAATTACTGTAAGATAATTTCCTGCTTAGTTCCCAGTCAATCCCTACATCGATCAGAGCAAGCACACTCACCACAAATAAAATCTCACTTTTTCTTCATCCATTTCTTGTGGTGCTGGGACAATTAGTTGAAACTGATAATAGGAGATTATACAAAGAAAACAAGTTGTACCCTAGTAAAGGCCATTACCAATATGTTGGATAGGATTCCAAACCAAATCCCTCAAATCAAATGTTTTAACCAATCAATATTTTGCATGAATTCTCTTCAAAAGGAAGCCATATGCAAAGAGATATTACAGCAAACCAGTTTTGATTACCATGCCTACATAAGCATTTTCCAGGAATAAGCACTAGCCTATATTGGGAATATTGGTCTCAGTCAAACTCTGGAAATTCATGTTAATGGTTACATTACAACAACTACAAATTTGCATGTAAGAACAGTGCCATCCCATCCCTTACAGGTTGAACTCCTCATTCTGCTCAACTGATCACATGAACCTCTGTTTTTGTTTGTTTATTTGTATTTTGGATTAAGCTTTAATATTATTTTCCAAGATCTCCACAGCTTTCTTGGAATATGACTGAAAAATGAGAGTCCCTGTAGCAGTATATTTAGGTGTTGCAGGCATGTTGTGATACTGGGATATGAACATTCTGTTGAAGTCAGGAAAATAGAAATCTTTGAAGCAAGCGACTCAACTTGACAGTCTTGGATCCTTTATAGCCAAGGCAGAATGTAGTTCAAACTACACTTGTCTTTTCCATCATATCAACAGTCTTCAATGTACTTTGCTTGGGTAAGTAAAAAAGAAAAAATGGTATCTATTGTATAAGGAAGTCACCTTGCCATGAAAGAATGTCCAGAGAGAACCAACCTGAATTCTGGGAAAGTAGGTGCAATTCCTAATTGTATTAATTATTGAATCTTTAAGTAAGAAGAAACTGGAACATATTAAACCATAATTGAGTATGCATTAATGAATTATTACAGACACTGTTGAATAAAATAAAAATGTTAATTATGGCCTGCTATAATTCTGAGATTAACCATTATATTTGTATCACAAAGTATCTATAATTAATATCTGAATTCAATCATTATTAAGTGATCATATTCTTTGGGATGGAATAACGTTCACCTTTTCTTCATAGAATATTGGGTTCTTCCAACTGTTCTGTCATCCATTCATAAGTTGATAATGATAAATTTACATTAAACCCTATTTTGATCATCTATATTTGGCTGCAAAAATGTAAAGGTTTTTTCATTGTTAGTGTCAAAGGAATTTAAATAGTTCATTTTACAATGTGGTACATTATTTCTACTGTTTCGTTTCTAACACAAAATTGCCTAAGGTGAATTTACATATATTTTCAGCAGCATACTCATACTGGTTAACTAAAGCCTGCATTGTAACAGATTATTTTCCAGAAAGAAAATTATATTTTAAATCACTTTCCTAAGAGTTTAAATGCAAAGCAAAATCCTACGCTATATACTGTATAAACACAAGTGTAGCATATTTGAAAATACTAACTTTCAATCTGGGAGATCCAGATTTAATTGGCCACACAGCTACAAAGGGCATTGAATAAACATGTGGATTTAAAGTATAGTATATGGGTTTTCTATAATTTAGAATGTTTAAATTATACACATTATTAGGTTATGCATGTAAGAATTTTAATTGCACATAATTTACAAAAAAGTGAAATTGTGAAAATAGTGGGCATATGCTCGTGATGGTATCATGGAAACTGCTTTATTTTCTTACTTGAGCAGTTTGTGATATGTTCCAGAGTCAGCCCTGGTCATGTCTTTGCTGTGATAATTGAGCTCTTCCCCCTCCCTGTACCAATAAAAAAATCAAATTGATTTCTAGCCGCTCCGTCTGGTAATGTCCATGTATATAGATGCTGTTTGCTTTTTGGAAGACTTTATTACCTATTTATATATTTATTGGATTTGGGGGCTGTTTGACTCTGAGATGATTCTGGATGGTCTACATTCAAGGACAGGAGACAATAAAACAGAAAAAAGCATATGTGGCCAGAAAAAACACGACTTACCAAGAAACCAGTAACTATCACGGGATTAACTGCTACTCTAATCTTAGGCCAGGGAGGAAAGCCAGATCTTCAAAATGTTCTGAAATAACTGAAAGGGTGGATCTTAGAGGGATATTGTTCCAGGGAGCAGGCACTGCAAAATCAAAGGGTTGACAGAAACTGATAAGTCATTCTCATTTCAGTTTCTTAGTTCATATAGCTGAACTATGTTTTCTTTCTTTTTATGACAATTTTTGGCATTCAAATATCCAGCTCCAAACGACATAACTTGTTTGAATGTTCTGTTGAGTTCAGACTGAACTAGACTATAAAACCATTAACCTGGCGAACATGAACATGGATGAATATCACACTAAACGGGTTGTCCACAAAATCTAATTGATATTATTTTGGCATTGACATTTTTTTTGTAGACTTCCTGACTATGTAAACAACACCATTCGTTCTTTGTTCTTTATGTCCTAAGTAGTAAACAATATGATCTTTTGATTGAAAAATCTGATGTGTAATCCAATCCATTTCAATTTTCTGATGCATAAAATGTCAATATGTAGTTGATATGTTTCATTTTACATTGTCTTGCGCTTTCCTTTGCTCATGCTTCTTACATTCCATGGTCCCACTGTAATTCTATCTTGGCAGCGTCAGGTTTTCATCATTTGACATTATATCATCAATCATGGCATAGGTTTTTGGTAGCATATAGAAATGGTTTACCATTATTTTCTCCCATATACCATGAAATGATCCTTTTTTCATGGTTAATCAGCATGATAATCATGATAATTCAGCATCTTCCTATGTTGTTGCTGCCAACGTTAAGTGCCTGCTTGATTTAGCTGGGTAGTTGGTACAATTTTCATATCATGGATGTCTCTGCTGGGGGTATGTACAGTTGGCATTCTTCACTAATCTCCACAGGTGTAAACTCCCTCGTGTATGATGAAGCCACATAGCAAAACTTGGGGGGATTTTTCAAATTATTATTATTCTACAACTACAAATTTTCAGAATAAAATGTTTTTGCATTGCTTCAGGGCTCTGGTCCACTTTAATAGCCCATCATCATTTAGTAGCTTCTATTCATAAGTCTCTTCTATTAATAGATGGAATGCATGGAGAGTCTTTCAATACTTGAAGGGCTACCACAAAGAAGAATGGGCCAACCTACTTACCAAAGCACCTGTAGGCAGCACAAGAAACAATGGATGGAAACTAACCAGGGAGAGAAGCAACACTGAATTAAGGGGAAAATTCCTAACAGTGAGAACAATCAACCAATGGAACAAATTGCCTTTGGAATTTGTGGGTGCCCCATCACTGGAGGCTTTTAAGAAGAGACTGGTCAGACATTTATCAGAAATAATATAGGTCTCCTGTGAGAGCAGGGGTTGGACTAGATCAGGGCTTTTCAACCTTTTCACCCATTGTACACTTTTAGGATATGGCAATATCCGAGTACCACCAGTCGCCTAGCAAGGTGTCAAAAACTTGATGACTCCCCCCCCAAAAATGAAAAAAGTGATAAAGTACAGGTAGTCCTCGACTTACAACAGTTTGCTTAGTGACTCTTAGAAGTTACAATGGCACTGAAAAAAGTGCCCAAGCCACAGCCGAGCAAGACACCTGCCTGCCCACCCAGCGGCGCTCTTCCTCCTGTCCGAGGTTTTCATTGTTGGCAGTGGGGGTGAGAGGGTGTTTGGTTTTTATTCCCCCCGTCTGCTGGGTGGTTGCAACAGGTTTTGGTCACTTCACATGACCCTGGGACACTGTGGCCGTCATAAATATGAATCAGTTGCCAAGCATCTGAATGTAAATCACAAGACCCTGGAGATGCTGAAACATTCCAGCTGATCGACGCTTCTTCTGGGCTCAGCAGAAGTACCAGGATCAGCGCCGAGCTCCAGCTGGAGCCTGGCGCTGATCCTGGCGCTTCCACTGAGCCCTGACAGCCCCGAAGAAGCACCAATCAGCTGGAGAGTGGCACTGATCCTGGCGCTTCTGCTGAGCCCTGACAGCCTTGCAGCTCCAGCCATCTCTCGCTCAGGCTTGTGCGATGCTGCCACTGGTTCAGCTCATTCCCCTCCCCCGCTACCACTTTTCTAGGAGGGTCGCGTACCACCTGCCAGGTGCCAATGTACCACAGGTGGTACTTGTACCACTGGTTGAAAAGCCCTGGACTAGATGACCTCCAAAATCCCTTCCAGCTCTGTTACTATTACTGCCTTACAATTAAGTCACACCCAACCCTTATCATGACTAGTCCCACTACCATTGTATTCAGCATAACAATTAAATTTCCTGAACTTATGGAGGAATTCCACTCACAATTTTGCATTATGTGTAAGTAGCGCTCCCAATTCTGTGCTGAGTCTCTGTAATCAGAAAATTCTTTCCAGGTCAGATGTTATCCATGGCAGAAGTACAGAGCACAATGGCTTTAAAGACAGGGATTAGTGTATGGCTCCT